GGAATGATCTAAAAACATTCCATTAGTAATGATTGAGAGAAGTGGTTATTAGTTTTGGCAAAGGCAGGCCTAGCCATTTCGGAGATACACGGCTAAATGTGTAAAAAATGATAATTTTTGAGAGAAATAAGCATCCGATTTTAATTTTTCAAAAAAAAAATCTGCTTTTGTTGACATTATGATTATTTTGGGAAAAATATATTTTACTTTAATTTCCAAAAAATTTTGTGAGTATCGAGAATAATTCGGTTTTTCAAAATTTTAATTCCGTACGGGTAGTTCCAGCAATTTGCCTCAAGACAGAAAATGCCATCAATCACCACTAGTTTTATTTTTAAATTTCACGCAAACGAAATCTCGAATACAATTAAATTCGGCTACTTGTCAAAAAAACATCAAAATCGGTCCAGCCGTTTCGGAAGTTACTAGCCTAAACTTAGAGATAAAATTTTAAAAATGACAATTTTGTTATAAGTATGCATTTTAGTTATATTCGTAAACATGTATTAAAAAACAACTACTTTAGTATTACAAACATACCCTTTAAATTTTCTTAAGAAAACAATTGTTCTAGGTTCAAATTTAAAGAAAACATTAAATTTGAAAATAAATAAATAATGAAAAAGATCATGATTTGATCAGTAAAACCATACGAAAACCCTTTCGCTTAAACTTGTGAATCCAAATGGTAAATTTTAAATGAGACATTTTTCTATAAAAAAAGAAGCTTGATAAAACTTCATTTATATTTAACACGTTCACGCCGGGGCCGATTTTCGTTTGTTTGTTATGAGGCGGCGCTGAAATGAACATCGCGCTTCATCTGGCGGCGCGTGATTATTTGCTCTGCAGTACAGTGAGATCTTATTGTGCAAGTTTTGTAACTCGTGCCGTTTTTTTCATTCTGACCACAAATTTCCGACAGTAAATATAATTAGAAAGGTGATTAGAATGTTTTTTTAATTTTTACCCTCACAAAAAATGGATAACATGGATATGGAAATAAGTGAATTGCTTGGAATGTTTTAACAAATTACACAAAAAACAATAAATAATGCAGTTATAAATAAAACAATATTAGATCTTATGTTATTTTAACCGTATTTGAATTTTTTGTATAATACTGTATTATTATGTTTGTTATTGAACAAAACTTATAGTTCTGATACATTTTTGATTATAATTATTATTAAAAATAAATGTTTTAATGACAGTTTAGTGTGGGTCACCGGTGACCCGCGCCGCCCGATGAGACGTTTAGTGTGGGTCACCGGTGACCAGCGCCGGCGCGAACGTGTTAAAAAAAATACTTTCTGGGCTACAATATGACTACAATGCATGAGAACATGAATTTTTATAATAAATGTAGGACATGGTCTAAAATATTTTACAACACTTCCTTAAATGGTTCCAATTGTTAAAACGAAATCAATCAATTTTATTGTACATCCCCGACATGAGGAAACAATTCCTGTTGTTTATTCCTTGCGTTCCATTAAAGATCGAGAAATAGTTTTAGTAGAAGAACCCGAGCGGAAATTTAAATAGGGCACGTAATAGGGCTGGCCCAAAATTAAGTAGGGTCCCGATCCGGCAGCCCTACTCGGCCCATATGCGTTTGGTAACGCCTTGCCGGATCCGGTTCAAGTACGGCGAACTGTTCCGGCCCCTACTCGGTAACCGTAAATGGTCCCTATAACAATATCGAGCTTGGCCCTTATTTCAAAATTATCATGTGGCCCTGAAAATAATAATTGATATTGCCCAATAAAAAAATACATATATTAAATTTTTGTATTCATTCTATTGTTGACAATAATAGTAATATATATATGATAGTTATTATAGAATAAAATGTACAGATATATACACAACTAGCTGTAAGTGGAATTCTGTCTTAAGGCAATTAGGGCATCGTGCCTTAAGGCAAATTGCTGGAACTTCCCGTACCAAAAATTATTATTTTTTTAAAAAAGATTAACATTTTTGAAAAAAATTTACTTCGAAAAAATAAGATTTTTGACAAACAATTAGACAAAAAATTACTATTTTTAAAGAATTTTTTTTTTTTAATTTTATTTTTTTTTTTTTTTTTTTTAAAAAAATTTTTCTTTATTTTGACATATTTTGAAGATCTAAACTTTTTTCGAAGCAATCGTACTACTTTAACTGCATAAAGACGAAATATCAAACCGCGTAAGCGCCGCGTTGGTACGGAACCCATAGGAATGTAAACCAAAATTATACTTATTGTTAAAATCTCAATAAAATATCTGATAATTTGATGTGCATATGTCTAATGATCATTTCTGACCGACAAATGGCTCATTTTTTCACTTTTTTCATTAGATCTCCGAAACCGCCAGACCTGCCTTTATGAAAATTTGATCGGTTCTTCACCTTGTCAATACAAGTAAAATGTTTTTGAATTATTAAAATCGGACGCTCCGTTCTCTTAAAAACTGAGTTACCGTTTTCGCCACTTTTTGTCCCGTATCTTCGGAACGGCTGGACCTGACTTCGCCAAAAACTAATCAGCACGTTTCCTTATCAATACGAATCGAATGTTTTTTGAATTATTGAAATCGGTTGATCGGTGTTCCCGAAATCGTCGACGAAAATTGTGTCCGCACATACATACACACACACACACACACACATACATCCATATTTTCTAAGGTATGCCAAAATATTCAGAAACCTTTGAAACGTCGAGAAATGCAAAAATTTTCATTTTCGATTTTTTTGCGATTACTATAACTTGCCCTACGGGAAGTTAAAAATAAGAAAAACATGAAAATACATAAATTTATATAAGATTTTTCTTATTCATCATTGTAATCTTTATGGTCGATTTCATTTTTATTTTTGTGTCGAAAATCTCTTCTTTTGTCCCAATAACTTGAATAATAATTTATTATTTTTCAAGAACTGGATTGCACTTAAGTTCTAATCGGAGTTAATCTCGTATTTATTTCCAAATTCCGTATCTATTTCATCTGTAATAAATGTATAACCATAAATAAATAAAATAATAACTATAGTTAATTTAATATTCCATCTACCTCATATAATATATATATATACATATATATCATGAGGTAGATGGAATATTAAATTAACTAGTTATATATATATATAATATATATATATATATATATATATATATATATATATATATATATATATTGATTGTTTCTTTTCCGAACAGTAAATCCAATAATAAAAAACAATTTGTTTTTTGAAGATGTTTAATACGACGTTTCGGAACTCGGAACTTCGGAACAGTTCCATCATCAGGTTTATTCTGTCAAATACAATGTTTTTTAAAATATTGATTAACATTAATTAACGATGGTCAATACAGATTAATTAGAAAATTTTTTTTTTATAAAGGAATGGATTATGTACCGGGGTAAAGAGTAATAAAAATTAACTAAAAAAGGTTTTATATAAAATTGAGAAGCAAAAATTATTTACCTGTAATAATTTATCACTAATATTTTTTGTTGTTAAAAACACTCGATTTTTTTGGAAGATATTTGTAGATGTTACGACTACACAAGACTTAAACTTTGAAGGCTTATTTGATTATTTTGCCAAATTACTCAAAGAAGAAAATATTTTCATTTCAGGAACAGCTCTATATTCTTTTAAAGAAATGTTTTCAAAAATTAAATCCACCACCCCTCCTAAATTCAATACTAACATAGTTTATTCCATCCCTTGCAAAAATTGGCCAAACATCGCAATACATTCATAAGAGAATGAGACAACACGAATTAAGCGTCACTCATCATAAAAGCCGAAATTTCCAAAGTACTCTTGTTCAGCATTCCATCGAAAACTCACATAATTTCACCTTTGAACCCAATATTTTATATAGAGAGGATTGTACTTTTAAAAGACTTTTTTCTGAAAGCAGTTTAATCTTTTTGAATTCGTCAAATAGTGTTAATAAAAGATCAGATCACTATATTATTCATGACTCATATCTAAATTTTTTAAACCTGATTAAAAACAATTAATCCTAATAATTTTTGAATATGTATATATATATATATATATATATATATATATATACATGTATATATGTTATAATATATTGAAATGTTATGAGATGTTGTTGGGGTGCTGATTGGATGGGTTGGGTTCCAAATGTAGATTGATTCACTCTCCAAAGGGGTGCTAGATCCTTCCAACCTTTTCTTGGTGTCGTGGGCAGAGCTTATAGTTTATAATAGAAAATAACAACACTGGTAAGAGTCTCCTCAGAACCGTGAGCACTTTATATTGGTATAGGCTGAAAGAGTCTTTACGCAAAGTAGAATACAAACACTGAATCTAATTTTGACTTTAACTTTATTAATCTTTAATAACTTCACATCACAAACAAGCATAGATTCGTGCTAGACATACTCTCGACTTTCTCCTAAGACATCACTAGGCTAGACTTTTGACTAAGACATCACTGCCTTTGCTGGACGATAACTACTCTATTTATTTAGTATAGGACGTGACATATGTGTACTTCCGCATTCGTGCGCTGGCCTTGTACTTTGATTATTTATTAACCCGCACGAAATGCATTGTTACACAATAATATGTACATCCATATATGTGCTTATATGTATGTTTTTGTGTGTACACTATATACATGCACTTGCATATATGTTCATGTATATAATTGTGGATACATTAATACAGCGGTTTCCAACCTTTTTTTCCTTGCGCCCCCCTTTTGAAAGAAAAAAATATTGCGCCCCCTCCCTAAATTTTTTAACAATTTAATTTAAATATACTTAATTGAAATTATGATTTATTAATCTCGTACCAAATAATGCACAATATACATACATACAAAAATAAACATACAAAAATAAACATACAAAAATATACATACAAAAATATACATACAAACATAACTATAGATTATAGGAAAAAATAATTTTAAATTTAATAAAAACAAATGATATAATAAATCACACAATATTAAAAAATTAATGCGACGGTTGAGCTTGTTTTTTAGCACAAATTTTCTCAAACCGCGGCTCCATTGTAGAAATCGCTGTTCTCAGTTCCTTTTCTATCACTAAACGAGATCGGTACTTTGTTTTTAATACTGCTACTGCAGAAAAACCAGTTTCACATAAGTAGGATGTCACAAATGGTAATAAAATTTCTAAGGCTTTATTTGTCAAAGTTGGAAAATCGTCCTTTACTTGTAACCAAAACTTAACAATATTCTTTTCGTCCTGAAACATCTGCTTCAATGTGCTATCACTAGATAAATCAATTATCATTTCCTGCTCTGCCGTTGGAAGTCCAAAATTATCATATTTATCAATAACAAATGGATTTCTAATCCATTCGTATTTGAACATATCTAGATCTTTGAAGTAATGCGCAAATTGGTTCCTTAAACTAGTCATATGATTGATAATAAGATCTTTACTTGCTTCTATTTCATCATCATTAACACATGTAGTTTTAAAAGAAGGAAACATATCAAAGTTATTACTTTTCATACTAGCTATCCACAGCTCTATTTTTTTCATAAACGCCGTAATCTTGTCCTTTTGAACAAAAGCATGAATTTGAGTTCCTTGCATTGATTTATTTAAATCACTTAGTCTTTTAAAGATGTCAACTAGATACGCAAATTTTGCGAGAAACTTCGTGTCATAAAATATGTCTGCTTCATCTCTTTTATTATCAGCAAGAAAAATGGCAATTTCTTTTTTGAGCTCAAACACCCTTTGAAGTACTTTAGCACGAGAAAGCCAACGTGCTTCACAATAATAAAGTAGTGCTTTGTATTCTGAGCCCATGTCATCACACAATTTTCCAAAAAGCCTTTCTCTTAATGGACTATTTTTGATAAAATTAACAACTTTTATTATAATTTCAAATACTTCAAGTAATTCTTCACCCATATTTCTTGCAACAAGAGATTGCCTATGAATCATACAATGCGTCCAAACTGCACGAGGAGCCACTTTTCGAACTAGGGCCTGCAGACCAGCATTTTTTCCTGCCATAGATGGAGCTCCATCAGTGCACAGTCCAACACAGTTCTCCCATAAAATACCATTTTCAAAAAAAAAGTTATCAATCATATTAAAAATTTCACTCGCCGTAGCTTTGCCTTCAATTGTCTTACAGAATAACAACTCTTCTCTAATATCATTTTCCATAACATATCTTATATATGTTATTAAGTGTGCATCCTTAGCAACATCGGTAGCCTCATCTACTTGCAACGCGAAAGAAGATAATTTAATTTTTTCTATCAACTGATCGCAAAGATCATCAGATATATCTGATATCCGTCTTCCCACCGTATTATCTGCCAGCGGAATGCTTTTAATTTGATCAGCATATGATTCACCAAACATCGTAGCTATTATGTCAATAGCTGCTGGTAGCACTAAAGTTTCTCCTATTGAATGGGGTTTTTTGCATTTAGCAATTCTATACGAAACTTTGTATGACGCAAGTAACGCTCTTTGTGATACAGACAAAGCTTTTGAAAACGATTCTTTCTGTTTATTTAAGTTATCTAATTTTCTTTGGAAAAATTCTTTTGTTTTGCCAACATGATCGGCGTGCACTTTTTCCAGATGTCGTTTTAATTTACTTGGTTTCATGCTATCTGAGGCCAAAGTATTCATACACAGCAAACACATTGGTCGTTCTTGACCATTAATGATCTTATACGTAAATCCCAATGATAAGTACATTGGATCATATTTTCTATGTTTAGTTTTACTATTTTGTGAAGAAACATTTCCATTATTTTCACCACCCTCTTCTTCTGCTTCATTAAATTTTCTTTTCAACCCAGTCACGTATTTATCCATTACAAACGGTTTTTATAACAAATCAAAGAAAATCACTTTTTCACTACTTTTCACAATAATTCCTGGCTAATAATGTGCTAAAACTAAAGCTATAAATTTTAACTCAATTATAATTTAGAAATTATTTTTTCTATATATCAACGCGTGTATCTCCAGCACAACTAATGAACTAATTCGATTTATAGATAACAGAATAAAAAGGATGCATTTGTTTATTTACTTAAGTTAGTCTCGAGTAAGCACGTGAATATTCGATATGATCCGAGTGTTTATCTTTTGTTTATAGGCCTACAGCTCACTCAACTACAAACGCAAAAACGAAATATTTTGAATGCACCAAAAGTATAGTATATTCATGCTTTTACATTTGTCCTGACAAAATGCAGCGAAAATTGTAGATAACTTGCATACATTTTGCTGATTTGTTTTTGACACTTACTCAGCATTTAACAACCATATTTTTGAAAGAGCTTCGCGCCCCCCCTGGGACGGCACCGCGCCCCACCAGGGGGGCGCGCCCCACAGGTTGGAAATCGCTGCATTAATATATAGATATGTGCATATGTATTTATGAGTATGTAGGTGTGCATATACATGTGCATGTATATATATATATATATAATATATATATATTTTTGTAGAGTTTCGAACAAGAATCCAAAAATAATACAAAATAAAAAAAAAAAAAAGAGTGCGCGTAAGGATCACACGCGATTGAAGTAAAACTTTTAATATTGTATGAGTAGGCAATTAAGATAAAAATAAAAAAACATATTTGAATTTTAAAAATCATTTATTAATAATCACATATAACATCAATAACACAGTTTAAAACAACAGCGATAGATTAATTGCTATCATATTTCATATATGATATAATAGGTTTGTGATAACTGAAATGAGAGACATAAATTTTGCTTTGTAAACTATGTACATTTCTGGAGAAAACTGCATCAATAGTCGAGCCATACCTTGTGGTTGAATCAAATGGAGAATTATTCATTGTTAAATTAAATTTATTATTTAAAAAATCAATTAATGGTTGAGATTCTTCTGAACGAAAATTGACATTGAAATCTCCAGCAAGAATTAATGGTATCTCGTTGTGATTAGTGTTTAAAAGTTTTGCACCCTCATTAGAAAAATGAAGTAACTGCTGATGAAGAAATTCAATAATATTTGATATGTTTTTATTGGGAGAAATTTAAAGGACGACTATAATCAATGTTTGATTCTGTGTGTGTAATATCACCTACTTGTGTAATTTCATTAGGAATGTCCAGTAATATTGTTGGCGCAAGAAACTGCATAGGAGTCGCATTATGAAGAGTATCTGAACATGAATGATAGACAGCTACACCACCTGCTCTTGAGTTTGATCGTTTGTATTGAGTAACACAGTAATAGTTCTGAATATTAATTCGTTCTTCATTATTAATCCAAGTTTCCGAAAATAACAAAAACGTACAACGTTGTAGCACTTTATCTTGCAGATCAGGCAAATGAGCTCGTAAACTTTGGCACTTTCTTCTTGTGTTATTAATCTACAAGTTGAAAGTCTTTGGAATTCAGTTTTTAAGTCCATTAATCCTGCTGGCCGTTTTCTACCATTATAAATTTTTTTGTCGTTGTTTTAGAAATGATGAACAATCCATTAATGCTGGTAACTCGTGATAATGCAACATATAGAAGCTGCTGATTATGTGTTTTATTGTATTCATATACAATTTTATCAAAAGTACCACCTTGTGATTTGTGTATTGTGAGTGCACAAGCAGACACTAAAGGAAAATGATTTCTTTTGACAAATATGATTTCCTGAGAATCGGCACAGCTGTCCTACTGATATTAAGAGTTTGAATATGATGTGCAGCTTTTTTCCTAATTTTGTTACCTATCTTACCAGGAAATTCAAACCATAAACGTAGAAGTTCATCATTATCGCCACGTTCTATGTACACTAATTTTCCTACACAACCATTAGCTAAGCCATCACTCACATCAATATTAGTTGTTATTATGCAAAATTTATTCAGAACTAAAATTATTTCATACGGCAAACCCCCGGTATCAATAACCGATTTTTGTGAAACTGCTGACGAATGTATGATTGTTGATCTGTCGCATGGCAACCTACATAAATATCCGTGGCAGTAGATATTATTTTGTCTTCAACGAGATTCAATATAAATTTATTATATTCCATGACACATTTATTCTCTAAGAAAAGTCTTATTCCATGAGGACATAACATAAAAAACATGATTCAATTAATGCAAGTTCATATAGGGTTTAGCGCTCGACTTACGCGACATCAGCGCTTACGGCGTCGTAGTGTTCAACTTCACGTTGGCGTTTTCGTTGCATTTGTACGGATTTACACCCGTGTAGCCTAAAGAAATTTTTACACCCATATCGCGCCTAAAGAAGTTTTACTTCAATAACATAAAATGCAAATAAAATAACATGCGTCTGACAGTCTGACGCGCACGGCGAATCGTGTTCTCAACTGCGCGTGCTTTGCTTTTGCTTGCAATAATTTTGTTTGCGCACTTTGCTAACAGATTCGCCGTACGAATTCGTGCAAAGGAGACTTAGTGCATAAGTGATTGCGCTCAAAAGTATTCAATTTGCAGTCGTTTTGCCTTACTATACTAAGTCACAATACAAAAAAAATTACTTATTCAAAAAATTATTTAGAAGTTTCATTGTGTCAAAAATTTATTTGGTTGGCATTTTGTACGGAATATTTACTCAATGGAGCGCTTTGGGTCTGAACTTTTTTTTACTGTTTTCCAATTCGTCTGGAATTTTGGAATTAGGCTCATCTCACTCTCAAGTTCGAAAGTGAAAACAATTTAGACTCCTTTGCACTACCCGGGGGGATGCCATTTCTTTTCAGTGGTTTCAGTGGATAAAAGAACTAATTATAAAAGAAAAATGTTTAATAATGTTTTTCAAAAAAGTACATACTTTTCAAGTTACTGGCTACTGAAAATTTGTTTCTTTTTTGCGTTTTTCGTCGTTTTTTGCTAATATCTTCAAAAATATACATTTAACGAAAATTATGTAATGAACAAAATTATATCAATAAAAATCCTAATAAATCGCTATTTTACAGTGTTCTAGGAACAATATTAAGTTAATTATGAAAATGGGTTTTTATAGTTCTCCAAATAAGCTTTAAAAGAAGTACTTCTGCGTGTAAAATGAGTGAGCTATCATGCAATTAAAAGACGCACACAATGTTTTTTTTTCATTTAAATCAAATACTTTTTGAGTGCCATTTCCACCAAAATTAAAAATAATCGTTTTCCATCTAGAATTAGCTTGGTTTGAGAGATTTTGATGGATTCTAGAAAATACCATAACATTAGTACAAACGATTTTCAAAAAACTCATGATTTCATAAAAAAAATCCATTTAAAAAAAAACAATTTCTCATTATAATATCTCTGAAAGAATACGTATTAAAGTATATATATGAAAATTCAAGGTATTTTTCAGACTGATTATTGCTTTTTATTATTTTTTTGTTATACAAATATTGATAGAGTTCTAATTGTTTAAAGAGTGCGCGGTGGTCCAACCAGAGTGTCTTTCGAGCCCTTTAATCCTCCGCCGTTTCAAAATAAGAGAAGTTACGGCAAAACTTATAATAGAGAAAGTTGTAGCTCATTTAATCACCTTTAAAATAGTATATTACAACTTATGATAAAATCAAAATTAAAAGAGTTATAATCCAATTAATGCGGGGGTAGTGACGAAATGCAAATTGTTTTCACTTCTCAACTTTAGATTAAGATTAGCTGGGCATACGCTTTTTTCCTCTCCATTTACTGCAATAATTTTGTTGATAGTAGGTTGAATAGAGCACATGTGAACAAAATTTGACAAATTAATTCACTTCAAATATGAGCTTAAGTAATAATGTATATTGAATTATTAGTGTGAAAAATGCAATTTAGATATTAAAATACTAAAAGCCAGTTAAAATATGGTACGAAATTATGAAAATTGTAGGCAACATTATTGAAGCAATTATTTTGGGTAGAAAAATTCAAGATGATATTGTACCTTGACCGCATGCTATATATTATTTTTTTCTGAATTTGTTATACTTTTTAAAAGATTTCAATTTTCAACACGTGTATCTATGCTATGACAATAAATACATGGTGATAAATTTAGAAAATCAATGTTTTAGCCGTGAATAAACAAAAAATCATTCATTTAAACATCCACATCTACAGGTATGTCTAAAAATATTGTATAACTCTTAAATTCAATAAAATAAATTGAGCTATTATAAATAAATTTGCTCTATAAATCGCAGTGTATAATTTTTAATATATAATTTTATTGAACATATTTAATATTTGTTAAAGGGATAATTAAAGTGTTAACTGTGGGAATTGAGAATAATCATTTTATTTGAAACAGTACTACATTTAACATCACTCATATATTGGTGTAAATAGTAACTCAAAAAACAATAATGATTATTTTCAACTGAACGGTATAAGTATTAGTATAGGATATTAAAAAACGTAGAGGTGGGTACAGGACAACGTCTGTCGGGTCATCTAGTATATATATAAAACCCTGCAAATATTTATGACGTTAAAAAATGTAATAAATAAAAGTACTTTAAATAGATTGCTGCAAAGCGTTAAATTGAATTTTAAAGTATACCGATTTGCTGTAGGGTCTTGTATTGTTAAAACGTGTTTTTTATAATTTAATTTTGAACAAATTTGCCAAATATAGTAAATAAATCGTACTAATAATTCAAAAGTTACACGTAATGTAAGCGCAAAGTACATGTATACTTTATTTATTCTTATAACAACTACAAAAAATCTGTGGTACATTTTTCTATAGTTTTACAGTTAACTCCTAAATTATCTAATTTATCTTAAAACTATCTTTAGCAAGTTAAAAGATAATGAAATTATCTGCGTTTTTCTCTAATATAGTATGCAAGTCTAAAAAACTTC